TCGCCACACGAAATTGTGGTGACAATCCGCACATCTACAGTCATAGGCTTTCGGCCAGTGTTTGCAGCAACAGTATCAGATCAAACAGAGTATGAGTCGACACAGCATGTGCGCGTCAAGGCTCTGCGTGCCGCTTGGAACCTGGACTCAAATCGAAGGCACACATAGAACAATTACGATTTTTATTTTCATTATTACTAGTACTAGTAGTTTTATGATCAGAAATAAATATTGTTTTTACTCTTATTGTAGCTTACTCTTATTGTAGCTCTAATTGCTATGACTACTGTTACTATATCGACTGGGCAGCAGGCAGCCTGCCCGACGATGGCAGAGAACGGAAAGACAGGCCTTCGAAACACGCAGGGCTCCAGCCTAACATTCAGGGTTTAGGGTTTAGGGTTTGGGGTTTTTGAGAGGTGGATTGCAATCGACTTTTCAACAAAACAGACAACAGGTTTGCATAGCAACTTCCGCACGTGGGGCGAGCCCCTCTCAGGCCCAAGATGCTTAAAGAAACACACATTGATGGATTGTTCAAGCTTGTGCTTACTCTGCAGCTGATGCTGGTGCAGTCGCGACCAGTTGCCGAAGGCGTCCAAATCGAGCAGAACTGTGCTTCCAGCTTTTATCGATCCTTCAATATAGATGTGGATGCTGACACTGATCCGATATTCCTCCAAGCGATACTTTGCGACCACAGTCTAGCCACAACACATGCTCAAAGATGCTGGCGCAGATTACATGTGTTGGTGCTGTGAACCGCGTTTATCGAGGGGCTGAGCCAACAGACTCCACTCCCTATGTGCTGGCTGACTAGAGAACAGCAATGACCCATGAAACCCAGCAACAATGAGAATGATATTGTTGATGATATAACCCCTGCATTACCTTAAGGGCCCTAAACTCTGGGAATTGTGGTGCACTCCTTATTCTGGGTCATGATTTATATCATCAGCCGCAGGGCATCAGGTCGGGGCCGGGGCCTTTCGTTCTTCGTCTTGGTCTTCTCCTTCTCTGCAACGGCGCAGCACTGAATCCTGGAGTTCTGACGGCCCGGCTCTGCGCGACTTCAACCAATGCTGAACGGGAGCCGCAGAAAATGACCCGGTGCAGGATGTCTTTTTTGGGGCTTTGTGCTCAGGCTTGCAACTCGCTGACAGAGCTCACAACGCCCCGGAACCGATCTGAAGCCATGGAGCATAAGAACTCACAGAGCCGAATTTCGACACCTGACGGAAGCCCCAACACCACACAACCTGACAGCCAAGCACATTCGCAGTGCCCTGAGCCCTACTCCCGAACTGAAACCTCAGAAAATCTTAAACCATCCTACAACCGTAGGTAACCCATCCCTTTCTCAGGAGAGCCCGTGGCCTCTTCTGCGTGGTTCGGCGTCCTTGCCTGGAGGTGTGCAGGCAACACTCTTGGGGTCAATGCATCTGAAGCTGCTACTGCGATGCCTGTTACTATGAAACACTTTCCACCAGAACGAGAGGGAGATGGCGACTATGTGTTTTTTGTGTTTTGTCAAGATCACTACCATTTGCTGTAGCTACCACTGTTCTGATTCGAGTTCCAAGCGCTTGGCCTAGCATCGCAGTTGTCCAAGTCAACACGTTTCGCCCGCATGCTTTTCGGACGACACTGACCGGCACTTTCATCTGCATGATTCTGCCTGCGCGTCCCAGCCAGCAGCCCAAGTCCGCAGGCCGCAAGCGGTGCAGCGCCGACTGCGCCTGATGACTCGAAACGACATTGGGTTTGATTCGGATTGTGTTCGATGAGTGTTGCGCAGGAACTTCAACTGGGAAATGTGGCAAGTGCCGTCTATCTCCACAGTCGGCAGTCCAGCAGCTGTAATGTGAAACAGGAGAGGAGAGATTGGCCTTTCGGTCACCCTCCGGAAGCAGCTTCCAAGGCAGAAAGCCGAAACCTCCTGGAAATCCTCAAGCCCAGACAAGTGGGCTTTGGGTCCGGCGAGCCCAGGTACCCTCCCGTAAGGACGCTTTCCAGCGGTGTACACGAGCAGCATGACCAGAACAACAAAAGAGCAAAGGCTAGCAGCATCTTTCTGACGAGGATATACGAAGTGTAGGGAACTAAACATCGTGCCGATAGTGCAAACAGAGCAGCGATGAACTTCCCAGTGACACCTGCAAAGCCCCGAAAGCCCGGAACCCACACATCCTGGGTTCGGACACCTCGCTCCGGGACCTCGTGCATTGCCTTCGCCGGCTGCGAAGTGGTGAGCCTACGCAAGAAGCTGACAAGGATGCCGTGCAGGGTTCCCAGATTGAACTGGCACTTCGGGTTTTGAATATGTCAAGGCTTCGCACCAAGAACATGTGGAAGATGTATCATCCACCAGAGCAGCGTGCAGTTCCGGGTGCTAGGTTCCAACACCGTGTAAACAGAGGTTCGGCATTTCCCACATCTTCGGGCTGTGGAAATGCGGCAGTCTGCGGGCTTCCATCTGGGGTGTTGAAGGCTGAAGCTTGAAGGCACGGGCTGAGGTTGGAGCTCAACTTTGATCCGCCGGCCCTTGATTTCTAGTGGCCGCTGGGCTCTTTGACGAGGTGTTTTAAGTTGCAGGGGTAGACAGCCCAGGCTGTTGGCCATTCGGCGGCTGCGATATGAAGGTCTTGTGAATGATGCCAGTTGGTCTCTTGGTCCTGCCAAGTACGATACTTGGTATCACTTCAAGTACTGCAGCTCTTCATTGCAAAGTTTTGCATTATCCACCGCGGTTTCGGCGTCTAAATAGAGTCTCTGCCCTACTCTCAACTCTCTTCAAATGCCACTCTCCTCCTGGCCGGCTACCTGGAGCCGGGGTGTTGGGGGTGGTAGACAGATCGGGGTGGAAACGTAGCGGAAGAGGTCGCTGCAACTACTACTGCTACTACTACTACGACGACGACTACGACTACGACTACGACTATGACGACCACAACGACGACGACAACGACTATCGCAGCACTACCACTTCCACTAGCACTAGCACTACCACGACTACTTACTACTACTACGACGACGA